CTTCTATATACATCACTCCTAGGGTTTCTTGAGATGGGCTGGAGATTTGAGGTTGTAATTTGGTCTTTTGTTTTGTCATTTTTCTATATTTCTGTGTTTCAATTGTTATTTGAAATCTTCCTCAGGGTCTGTTGGAAACCCACTTCTATGTTTGCAGCTCCTGGAACTCTGGCACCGAGTTCCCCCAGGCCGCTGGGCCTCTAGAACCAGTGGCCTTCTTCTGCCTGTTTAGAACTCCGTAGTTCCAGATAAGCTGGGCTCCAGGGACAGTGTGCACCCCCCTACTTGCTGGAAACTCCACAGTTCTCCGCGTACAGCTGGAATGGGGAGGTGGATCTAGGCATCTGGGGCCCACTTAGCCACTTCACTGCACCCAGAAGACTCAAGGGTCCCGAACAGTCTGGGCTTGGGGCAGTGTGCACTGGGCACTTACCACAGGCCACAGGGCCTCTGGAACTGGTGATGCTCGCCTGCTTGCTAAGATATCCACAGTCCTCCAGGCACATCGGGAGGCAGATGCAGGTGCCCCAGATCCGCCCAGCCCTTACTCTGCACCCAGATGGTGCGAGAGTCCCAAATAGGCTGGGCTCCAGGGATAGTGTGCGCCCGCCTGCTTGCTGGAAACTCCACAATTCTCCAAGTGCAGCCGGAATGGGGAGGCGGATGTAGATGCCTCAGACCCACTTAGCCACTTCACTGCACCTGGAAGCCTGGAGGGTCCCGAACAGTCTGGCTATTGTTAATCTATATTTTGTTTTGAAATCCTGTACTGTTTTCATTTCTGTTTAGCTTGGTTTTGTTTGATGTTTTCATATTTGATGACATGAATGTATTACAGTAGCCATTACTGGTTTCCTATTATCTTGTTTTAAGCCTTGTAGTGCTGTTTTCTTTTGATTTTACTCTATTTTAGTTTGATTTTAGTATGTCTGATGGCATAAGCAGCTACTTTGAAGATAAGAAGATATATTATGGTAGTTACTGTTGTACTTCTAATCTCTTGAAGTCTCTTGTATTGCTTTTCTTTTGTTTTGATTCCATTGTTTTGATTTTATTATGCTGGATGATATGGGCAGTTATTTTAAAGATAACAAGAGGCCTAAGGGATATAACTGCATGTATGTCTGAGTTTGTAAGATGGAAAACCATATTACTGAGATTTTGTTGGATCATTGAATGGAACTCTCTGCAATCTCACTGTATGAATGTCCACTTTATATGCTTTAATTTTTAATTTGGACAACTGTTTCTAGGATGATGGTGTGTGACCTATTAACTAGTGATTTCTTAATGTATAATTTTTTTCTTGAAATCCTGTATTATTTGTACCCTTTTACTGCTTTTTAAAAATTTCCTATCTTTTTTATCTTTAAATAAAAAAAAAAGAAAGTGAAAAAAAAAGATAACAAGAGGCATTTTGGTAGCCATTACTGATTTCCTTTTATCTTGTTTAAAGCCTTGTATCACTTTCATTGTTTTGTTTTGACTGTTCTACTTTGTTTGATTTTATTATATCTAATGGTATAAATAGCCACTTTGAAGATAATGATGTATTATAGTAGCCACTGTTATATTCCTATTGTCTTGTTTTGAAGTCCTATATTGCTTTCATTGTTTTGTTTTGATTAGTTTTATTCTGCTGTTTTGTTTTGATTTTATTGTACATGATGGTATGGGAAGTTTTTCTGAAGACAGTAAGAGGCATCATGGTAGCCATTGTTGGTTTCCTTTTATCTTGTTTTGAAGTCTTGTATCACATTCATTGTTTTGTTTTCATTGTCTATTCTGTTTTATTTCTTTCAATTTTATTGTCTTCAAAATGAAAAAAAAAAAGCAAGGCATTATGGTAGCCATTGTTATTTCCCATTATCTTGTTTTGAAATCCTGTATTGCTTATACTGTTTTGTTCTAATTAGATTTATTGTTTTATTTTGCTTGATTTTATTCTCTACAAAATAAAAAGAAACAAATAAAAATATGAAAAAATAGCTGTGTAGAGACTGGTATGTACCTCAGTGGAAAAGTGCATGCCTATTATGTGCTAAGGCTCCGGGTCTAATCCCCTATGTTCACATACATCCCATGCGTGCACACACATACCTGCATGACACAGCTGGGTTGTGGTAGCATGTGCCTGTAACCCCAGCACTCAGGAGAGGCTGATGTAGGAAGATTCTGATGAATTCAAGGCCAGCCTGAACTATATAGTAAGACCCTATGTCAAGGAAAAAAAAAACTACATATCGAAAAGATAGAAATATTAAAATAGAAATGGTAAACTGGGAAACAAATTTATTTTTCCCTTTAAATTTACAACTTGTAAGTGTGTGGTCAGAACTGTGATAGCTTGCTGCCACCAGTGACTCAGTCTTGCATCAGTTCTCTATCGTTCTTCCCAGGATCTAACCTTTGTCCAGCATTTCTACAATCTGGCTGGCATTTCTGAATTGATCCCAGGCACCAGGTGCTGACCATTAGAGCTGACCCAACATGGGATATTCTGTTCTCAAGATAAGCAAATATTGTCACAAAAAGTTCACCATCTCTTGTTGGTGCTGCACCTGAATACTCCCAGGAGATACTACTTTTTGCCACAGCCCTTAACTTGGTTCTCTGGTAAATATGCCCAGCTTACCCAAAGACTTGGCATGGGTCCTGAGACTGTAGTTTGCTTCCAACTGTTTCTTACAACTGTCTAGGGCCTTGCGTTTATGTGGGATGAGTTTCCCAACCAGAGTTTGATGACCAACCAGAGTTTGATGACATTGCTCCAACATGGTCAAGTGGTGAACAGTACCATGGAGTCACTGCACTCAAGTGGTTGCTACTTATGGCACACAGTTTTTCAAATAACTGATTTGAAAATTTAGCTCAGAAGCTATTTGTATAAAATAGCAGAGGCCTCTCACCTTGCTTTTCCCATCATGGTGCTGAGATGAAACACACAGCTACACATCATCCCACTCCCTTGCTTCCAACCTATTTTTGTGACACAGAGGGGCACATGAGGGATACACTATTTCTAGCCTGTGCTGCTCGCAGCAGTGTTGAGCATCAGCACTGAGAGTTCTAACAAAACAGATGCTGAGTGCCAAAGAGGGGTTCATCTAATCAACCTGAGGTCCAGGATCTGCAGCACAATCTTTGCACTCTTTTTTCACTGCTCCTATCACTGAACTTGGCTGAAGTAACTGCAGATGGAATTCTGCACATGTCACACTTTGTTCAGTGAAATGGATGCTGAGGAAACAGCCTTAATATTTTTGCTAAATTAGATCTCCATTGAGAAAATTTATTGTTAAAATCAAGATAAACTCAAACTGATAATATTTTTCATCTGACATATTTTGTATTGGAAGTGCTAAGATCTGACGAATTTGTAACATTAGCATGCTGTGTTTTTGATTTGTTTTGGGTTTTTTTTGGTGGTACTTGGACTGAATCCTGACCCTTCATAAAGATCCCTAATCCTTTTTAAAATTTTTAATTTTGAGACAGGGTCTTGCTAAACTGCCAAGTTGTACAGGTTGAGTTCAAATTTGCAATTCTCCTGCCTCAGCTCCCAGAATGCTGAAATTACAAATGTTTACCACTATGCCCAGTTGCTAACTTTTATTTAAATCAGATTTCTCAATTTCTATCAGGTTTTTGGTCATAAGGGCCTCAGGGTAATGTACTATAAATTTTAAGAAGTATTAGTAATGAGTTGTGACTATGTATTTAGACAGGATTTCTATCATTAATCTCATATTACCTCTTATATTACCTAACAACTAGTTTCCTAGACAACACTTTATTTACCCCTAAATGAAGCAAACCAGTTGGCTTTTTGGGGATTTTGCAGGGGACTGTACTGCCTGATTTATACGAGGTGACTTAGTAATGCAACAGCATTTTACAAACATGTGAGTATTTTCCACCACCAAGGAGAATCTCCATGGACAGGCAGTGACGAGGCAGTTTCAGCAGAGTAGCCACATCACCACAGCACTCTGAGAACCACGCAGCATCAGCACAGTCCCACATCACACTTGCTGCTTCAGTCCACGACAGGCCATATCTACACCAAGGGTGACTTAAGAGTAAAACAGACCTGGAAAATTCCCACTGCTTAGTGACTGTAGCTGTCAGATGCCACAGTACAAAGCATTACCAATGTGTCTGTGGTGATGCTGCTAGTTGTATAAAAGTACAGCATGTGCTAGGTGGAATGGAACGTGTAAACCCAGCACTCTGCAAGGCTGGGGGAGAAAGATAAATTCAAACTCAGACTGGGCAATTTAGTAAAACTGTGTTCAACCATAAAAAGACATGTGGAATTGTAGTTCAGTGTGAAGACCCTGGTTTCAATCCCCAGTAAAATCAATAGGTCCATCAAGCAATACAATTAAAGTTAAAGTTAACCTTGCACAGTTGGCCAGCAGCAGCCTCACTGTTGATACACTGTTGGTGGCTGATACACTGTGTCAAATAGAGAAGTTTAGAAGTTTAACTGAGAGACTCAGCAAGGAGCTAGGATACTTACTTGTAAACATCCTGTGCAAGAGAAAGGCACAGATTTTGTGAGTGCTATATCTGCCCTGGAGGGGAGGGAGTGGCCTGTGTACAATATAAAGGAGAAAGGCTTGTTGCCCCGCTTTTGCTCTGGCTGCTGCCTTGGAGTACTGCCCCAGTGCCACTTCACCCTGCCTTGAAGCCAGCTGATTATGGAATGAAACCTCCACAAACAGGGAACTAAATAAACTTTTCCTTCCTTCATTATGGATGTCGGTGTTTTGTCCCAGCAACAAGAGGAAAGTAACCAAGATATTCACCCAGCTCATGACTGCCGTATCTCCTGACTGCACTGGAAACTGTCTCTCAGGGATGACCTGTACCTTCTCGGTTTGTATGGCAGGACTCTCAGATATATGCACAGCCACAAAGTCATCTGATGCACCTTTCAAATAGAGCCCCATCATTAGGTGATGCATGGCTGTTTTTAGTAGCAATGAATTTACCTGTCTCATGTTGGCCTCTCCGTGCTCCTCGTGCCATTCCATGTACGGCAGAGAGTCTATACCTTCTTCGTCAATCAATTCCGAAACATTTAGAATATTAGGAAAAGGTGACTCATTACCATCCTGTGTTAAATCAAGATTTATTTAAAGAAAAAGATGTTAGCAAACTAAACCATTATCAGACATTCTAAAATTTCTGGAAGCTGGGTTTGGAATGCTTCAGTATGTGGTGGCTAATCTGGACTGTCAACCTGATTGGACTGAGAGATTCCTAGGAAATTAGTAAAGCACACTTCTGGGTATGTCTAAGGGGAGCTTCCACAGACATTGCCATGTGGAATTGTGTGAAGACTTGCCCTGGATGTGGGCAACAGTACTCAACAGGTTGGGGTCCCTGGTGACACGAAAGCAGGCAGAGGAAGCCCATCAGCAAATGCTTATTCCCTGTCTCCCTGCTTCCTGCCACCCTGGGGGAGCTGCTCAGACCACCACATGCTCTCTGCTGTGATGTGCTGCCCTGCCTAAGATCCAGGATGATACGACTAAGCAACCACAGATGGAATGCTTGGAAATCACAGGCCAAAACAAACTTTCTCTCTTTAATTTCTGTTCAGTATTTTGTCACAGTGATAAGAAACTGCCCAACATAAGATATAAGATTATACCTTTTGTCCCTAGCCACAGGTATGCAAATAAGGAAAACAGGCAGAGCATTGTTAGGAAATGCTCACCCAGAACTGTGTTAAGTGCTCAAATTTGTGAAGGAGAAAGGGTCTTCTGTGGACAGGGGAACTTCCATGTCAACTTTTTGAGGATACTGGATTAATGAAAAATGACAAATACCAAGAATGTAACAAAAGATTATATCTAAAATACACATGTAGCTAATAATTAAAATATTAAAGCTGCTATTTGTGTGTAGTGGAACGTGCCTCTAATCTCAACAGTCGGGAGGCTGAGGCAAAAGGATTTTTGTGGGGTTGGGTTTTGCTACTAAAAACAGTGACTTCAAGGGCAGCCTGAATTACATAGTGAGAGTATCTTACAAAAAAAACAAAACAAAACAAAACAAAAACTAACAGACATTGGCTTCTGAGGATTTGTGGGTCTCTACCCATCCTGATCTTCATAGGCTGGCCTGGGCTAAGTCATCAAAGATCAAAGCAAGAGTGACTTTCTTAATGTGTAAACACAAATAAAGAGTTTAACTTTGAATTAACAGTAATACATACCCTTTCCTCAACTGCTACAAAGCTTGTAAACTGTGTCATGAGACAGTTTTCTTTACTGAGTTTAATAATCAGAGATTTCATAATTTGTTTCTTCATCTAGAATAGAATAAAACAAATGAAACCATGTCTTGTTTTATTTATCTCTATTTAGCTATTACAACTAACTAAAAGTGTACTGAATAGTCTAAAAGGTGTTTATCTATGGTGAGTCTGTCTATGGCATCTGAGCGTCTGGGTAGTGTACTAAGGTGCCTGACTGAGAGGAAAAGGGACAGACACTGCACAGGGCCACCTCCTGCACAGCAAGGAGGGTGTGAGGGGCTACTGGCTATACCTCATATCCTTGGGCAGCTGGCCCCACCCCTGCCCCTGGGTAGCTTCTTCAAGTAGGTGGGAGGGGATCTGAGATTATGTCTGTTACAGAACCTCAGTGAACATTCCAGAATCCTCCTTTGGACTCCTGCTCATGGGCAGAATATTGCAGAATTCTTGAGCTAGGCATGATGGTACATGCCTGTAATCCCAGCACTCAGGACGCTGAGGCAGGAGGGTCCCAATGGGTTTAAGGGCAGCCTGGACTACACAGCGAGACCCTCTCTCAAAAACAACAAACAAATGAAGCATGAATGATTTAGAACATTACACAATAGTTTCTGCTAAGAACAGACCTCGTGTTTGGCTTCATCTTCATGGAGAATGCCGTCTTCAAAATCTCGGATTAGTGCTCTTGCAGCGAGTTTGTGAATCATCTATGTTTAAACAGCAAAGTAAAAAAGATTTGGAAATTAAGGGCTTAGAAAGACAACCTTCAACAGCTGGACCATGCTAATTTACATAGTGAATCTACTCTGTTAAAGTGCACAGTCTAGTGAGCATACTGATTGCACACAGCTTGTGGCCAGCACTAACACAAAACTCTGGCTCATGCTTTTTACTCTGCAGCATCCCCTGGTGCCCCCACATCCCTCCTAGCCTGGCATCCACACGTCTGTTTTCTGTTCCTGGTGCTTTGTACTGTCTGTATGAGACTATTCTGTCAACTCATTTAAGAATTTTAAAACTGTTCTTTTGCTTCATGGAGAGCTAGTCTTGGGGCACGATGGCCCCCTCACATGAACTCCACTGGGGGCCACACAATGGATGCTCTTGATGACACTGAACTGATCTGAGCCCAATGCAATGCCTGTTCTCAGCCATGCCAGCTCTGGTGATTCTCCCACTGACAAGCCTACCATTCACAGAGGCATGTATCTTTAAAGACTGCGATTTCAAGGAAGGAGACACTATCCCAATGCAATTCTTTTGCCTTATTTTCTCATGAGAACTAATTTTTAAAGAAATACAGAGATTTCTGCAAAAGTTCTGTCAAAATTGCAAGAACCATTGTTTTTGTCTGACTTCTCATACCTAGCCCCAGAGATCAGGTAAAAATGAAAATGGTGTTACCTGACCTTTTAAGAAACCAGGAGAAATGAGAAAAAACAGTCAAGTTCTCCATACAAGCCAGATACAATCATCCTAAGAATCAAATTCTGTTTCCATCCTTAAACTAAAAAAGTAAACTGAGCAACACTGGCCCCAGAAAGTAACTGAAATCACTGATCTGCTTTTGTCATTTGTTTCTGTTCTCTTCACCCTTCTCAGTCTATTAATTGAACCTGTTCTGTTCAGCCCACTGAAACACTTACTCTATTTTATGAAATGAACTGATCCTAGCATACCAAACAAAGCCAATAAATATCTTTAAATTGTTATAATTTTGTCCTTTAGAGCAGTAAATCTGCAATAGTACATGAATTGTTTTCCTCAGTTCTCTGAACCGTTACAGCAAATTACTTAACCTAAGGAAGAATTCAGGAAACCACAACTTATACCCAACTCAGGCAAAAGTGTGTGCAAGCTAAGACCCACTGTTTACCACTGGCATTTGGCCCGGGACAGTCTTGTGGCTCTGACACCTTTCCCTGGGGAATGTATACTAACTTTGTGTGGACAGTGTCAGAACTGAGTGGAACTGAAGCACACACAGCCTGTGTCAGGAAAACACATCTGAAGACAGAAGTGTTGTAAGTAGAGAAGGGATAGTAATTTTTCTTTCAAAATCCGAAAGTGGAAAAAACAATATATTGTGGTTTATTCTTCATTCACTCCTGTAATAATTAACACTTTCAAGTACATAAGGGATCAGTAGTGCTTAACCTTTATGGAGTCACAAGCATCTCTGCAAATGTTCCTATAAAAAGTTTCACATAAAATCCCACGCTGCATATTGCAGTTATGCACACCCAGTGATGCCCACAAGGATACACCCAGACAGGAAGCCTGAAGGCCTGGAGAGCCTGTTCCTATTTGCAGAGATCCCCACCTTCCGCAACATGTGTGCACATGCGCCACACAGGACAGTGACAAGGGAATGGCAAGGACCTAAGATGTGCAAATGTAAAAATCACAAGTCTCAGCTCATAAGTTAAATTTTTTCTTCTTCTTTGTCAGCGCTGGGAAACAAACCCAGGCCCTTGAGAGGCTAGACCAATACGCTACCAATGAACTATACCCTGGCCCCATAGCTTAAGTTTGAACCTTACAGTTCCAGTTGTTTTCTGAAGCTCAGTAGTTGACACCATTGAACAAAATTCCTTCTCTTGGATTAATGCACACAGAGATGCCTGAAGTAGAGAAAATATCAGTTCCACATTAGCTTTTCTATTACATAGTGTCATTAGTTAACAGTATTTCAGTGATAGCCTAGCCTCTCCTGTCACTGGATACTACAAACTTCCCAAACTACATTCCTGAAAAGGAAAAACAAGAACAAGAAGATAAACCACACATTGTTCTTCACCCAGTGTAACCAACAGTGTGTCCTCTTACCTGAGTGCAGTGAGAATTCAATCCATACACCAGCAGTCGATCATTGTGAAACAAGGACTGAACCTGCGCTGGGGCCTGCAGGGGCTGCTGCGCGTCTGCACTGAATTGCTGCCACTTGATGGAGACAAAGTGGCAGCCTGGGGAACGTAATCTGTTCATCTGGTCTTCTATCTGTTAATAAAACAGGAATTATTTCTCTTTTAATGCTACTGAAAAACAGTAATTTAGCTGAGCATGGTGGCACATGCCTGCAATCCCAGCACTCCGGGAAACTTAGGCAGAAGGATCACAAGTTTAAGCCGAGCTTACAGAATTTACTGATGTGGTGAGAGCTGTCTCAAAATAAAAAATTTTTTAGAAAGGCAAAAAAAAAAAAAATCTATTTATGATGTCATTATAAGCAGAAATCAAACTATTAGTTGAGTAGCCAGCGTTCTGGACAGCTGCAAGATTAGCACAGACTGAGGACAGGGTTCACATTTTAGGCAAATTTTGCCTTTCCCTATCTATTTATGGGAATACGGAAGTTACTGTCAGACTTGTAAGAAGATAACATTTCCACAGTAAACACATCACTGAAGTTAAAATGTTTAAAAACATACCTGTTTTTTCCAGCTGTGTTTGGATTTTAGGTTAAAATATTCAAATGCTCCAGCACCACACTGGGACAAATTCCTTAAAATATGATGATTGGCTGTAGGACTAATCACATTTCAGAAGTTTTAATCTTTCAGAAATTTTAGATCCATTTTTTGAAATACACGTTAACAATGTTAAAAAACTCACAGCTTAGGGGATCAGGATATAGCTCAGCAGGCATAAGTGCCTGCCTGGCAAGCACAAGGTTGTGAGTTTGATTCTAGGTAACCCAAGAAAAAGAAAGAAAATTCACAGTTTATCAGAGAAGTCACTGCATGAAGAAGGATTTATTCCTCTGTAGCTGAAGTAAGAGATAAAATGGGGCTGCAGGTGGTAGGTACAGAGCTTGCCTAGTATGTGAGGGCCTCTAACCTTGATCTCCAGGACAATCAATCAATCAAGATGTAGTATTTAACAACAACCCAAAGAGGTATCACAATAATACTTGCTGAAGATATCAATCTAGTATCAATAAATGTCAAAATTACATGAATTTGATGCCAAAAGCCAATTGGCAAGAGTACATGAAATCCACATTTTAAAATTTGACATGTCTCCAAGGTAAAAGCTATAAAGAAAGACCTTATAGTCTGCTGTGTGGTTCCCATTTGCCATACCAGCTGCGTACGAGGCTGAGCTATTGGGGGTCACTTGACCCAGATGTTTTTTCGTTTGTTTTTGTTTTCTGAAACAGGGTCTCACTATGCAGTTCAGGCTGGCATTGAACTCAGTACTTAGCCCAGGCTGCTCTCTAACTCTTGGCAATCTTCTCAGCTCACCCTCTAAGTGATAGATAGGATTATAGGGATGCGCAGCCAACACCTAGCTGAACCAGGAGTTTTGGACCACCCTGGACAACACAGCGAGACCTCCCCCAAATAAACAAAAAGCGTACTAACTCTTACTCAAGCAAACAATATAGTTTTTTCCATTTTTGACATTTAAGTGGCAGTGTTTTACTAAGTTTCTCTCAAATAGTTGTACAACTATATAGAAGAACTCCTACTGAGTCCAGGCAGCTAGCAAGAGCTCCACCAGGCTATGCTGGATGAGCTCCACACCTGACTGTTATGCGAAATAATCCTATAACCCAGTGTTGGCAAACCTTTGAGCTACTGAGTGCCAAACTGCAATGCAAAACCCACTTATTTGGTGCAAAGTGCCAACACTGCAATTAAACCTGAATACTGAGGTTTTCATTTAGAGAAACTCATACTTCAACATCCTTTGTCTTAAAAGAAAAACAACACCTGTGCCATAGGTTCAGCACTGCTCCTATAAGAGAAGAGGCTGAACAATTTACCCAAGGTCACAGCTAACAAATGAGTGGCTATTGGGTTAGAGACTCAGGCAGTCTGGCCCACAGCCAAGACCTCATTGCCTCTGTGACAATGGATTCTATTATTATACACAAATCAGCTTCCCAACTTCCAAAATTCCTGTGGAATTCAAATGAAAGACCTGTTGAAGCCATGCCTGGTGGCACATGCCTATAATCCCAGCATTTGGGCAGCTGAGGCAAGAAGATCACTGACTCAGAGGTCAGGCTGGACTACACAGTGAGTTCAAGGTCAGCATGAGTTACAAAATGAGATGCTGTGACAAAAACAGAGAGAGAGAGAGAGAGACAGACAGACAGAGAGACAGAGAGACAGAGAGACAGAGACAGAGGCAGAGGCAGAGACAGAGACAGAGACAGAGACAGAGATAGACAGGCAGACAGACAGACAGACAGACATCCCCGCCTGTAGATGATCTCTCCACTGGATGGGTGACAGGTCTCTGGCTTACCTGACCCCACAGGTGAACAGCCTGGTATGGAGGACATTTCTCTTCACAAGCTTCAGGGTCAGGCCCTCATTCTGGAGATGCCCATCGGATATGATGAGGATGTTGCGGACTCCTTGAGAAGGGTACAGTAAATTTAAGTATCGGAGTGTTTTCCAGAAGTCTGTATTCCCCATCGTAGGTGTAGCAGACTGAGGGAGATCAACAAGAGGATCATTATCCTTTGGGTATGGTCACTCATCAAGGTAATCTTCATTGAAATGTCTCCTAGGCAGAGCTTCAACACTCATCCTAAATACTTTTGCCTCATTATGCATTTGTGAAGCAACTATATTTATATCCTTCTAGTTTATTTCATGGCCCACTGTAACTATATCATCACCCCTGGGCATCTGTTCAAAGAATGATCATCTATGTGAAGAAACAGCCACTTGAACACTGTTAGGTAGGCAGCTGGGTCGGAGGAGGTGACTGCTTGTTCTCAGCTTTCTCCAGACTAAAACAGAAAGTGGAACCATAGAAAACCTCAATTTCATAAGCCAGTCCCACTGGACACTTGGGACCATGGGAAAGGCTTCTGTTTATTTTATTATTATTCATATTATTATTTATATATTATTTATTATTTATTATTACTGTTTATTTTCTTCTTAGCTGTCACTTTTATTTTATTATTATTATATGAGGTCACTGCTGTAGTTTTGATAAGTATCCCCCAGGGACCATGTGTTAAAGGGTTGGTCACCACCCTGCTGTGCTGCTGGAAGGCAGAATCTCTGGGAAGCAAGGCCTATGGAAAAATGGTACACTGGGGCTGTGTCCTCAACGGGCATTTGGCACCCAGGCCCCTTTCTGTCCTTCTGCTTTCCAGAACTAAACAGGCCTATTCCACCATGATATACTGCACTGTCACAGGGCCAAACGACCAGACTATCATCACAAGCCAAGATAAAACTTTTCTCCTTATAAGCTGACTTATCTGAGGTATTTGCAGAGGTACTGGAAGGCTAACACATTCACAGCACAGAAAACCCTATGGAGATGGAGATGGCTCTCTTACCTTAATGAACTCTGCTGGCACACTGTTGCCCGTGATGTGCTTAGGATATGAAAATAACTCCTTGAAACCTGTATGATAAGATTGGCATGACATGTTTCTGTTAAACATTCACTGGATGACAATAAGCAAACAATAATGCTACTTTGTACCATTGCTGCCACTGTAAAGAATGTTATATATATTTATGTGCACACATTTCAGAAAACTATGAGTGATCATTTTAATATACAAAAGCTCACCTTTAAATACACATTCCAGGATGTTCAAGTTACATATTTTACTATGCAAAATGTTCTGAGTCATGTTCCTGCCGGGACCACTGTATCACTTCGCAAAGCAAGCCAAAAGGTATACTGTGGCCGTATGGGCAGTTCAGCCCCTAAGGTAGTGATGACAAACCTTTTGGAATTAAGTGTCCAACCCATAACCCAAAAACCCACTCACTTATCACAAAGTGCTAACACAGTAATTAAACCTAAAACAAATGTGGGCTGTAGGTTCACCACCAGTGCCCTAGAAATTATAGTCTCCTTCCCTTTATTTATTTGAGCTCCTCCCGCAAAAGAATAGACCTTGGCTCCACTGCAAAGAGCCTCTATGAGACAGCACAGAAGAAGAGACTCACAGAAGAAACCTGTCCTGATATTCTGCTTCATGCTTTTCACATCCTTGAAGTACCATGCTCTTGAGAAGCCCATTGGCCCTCAGCAAGAAGGTGGCACTTCTCCTTTTCCTTCCTCACTCCTGAAGATTGTTCCTGAGAGGCTTTCTCTGTCTGCTGTTTTTACATGTCTCACCTCATCCAGGGAACTTCCTACTCAGCAGATGAAGGGTCTTGAATTTATCTTAGTTGGTGTTTTGATGTCCCTCCAAAGCCTCACACAGTCATGGAGGTGGTTGAGTCAAGCATTTGTGATTGGTTCATTGTCTATCACTGGCTTGGTGAGTGCTGCACTCACCCAAGGGTGGCGAGCTGGCATACAATATAAGGGAAAGAAAGAGGCTTGTTCCCCATCCTTTTGCCCTTTTTGCTCTTGTCACTTGGGGCTGCCATGAACAGCTGCCCCTCATCACGCCACCTGGCCTTGCAGCCAACGGAGTACGGACTTAAACTTCCAAAAAACTGTAAGCTAAATAAACTTTTCCTTCCTTCATTTTGGGTGTCAAATAGTTTGTCTCAGCTACCAGAGAAAAGTAACTAATATAGTTGGTAATAACAGTAGTAACATTTGTGTTTCTCCTACCATGAAAGGAGCCTTGTTGTAAATCCTTTCTAGCCCTTATCTTAGTCTTCAGCACAACCCTGTGGAGTGGGGTCTAGTATCCCAAGACTGCAAAAGAGTAGGCAAAGGCTCCAAGTTCCAGCAGCTTGCTCAAGGAGACCAGTGGGATCTGGACCGGGGGATCTGGCCCCAGAGGGTTCTTTCCTTCCCTGTTCTGTGGTGCTGGGGTTGGGACCCAGGATGCATGCCAGCCAAGGGCTCTCCCACCTGTGGCCTTAGAACTCTGGTGCTTACACTTCAGGCTTGACTACTTCCCACTACACAAAGTTTGGCACCAACAGTCATCATTCCACAAGGCATGTGCATGAGTTTTAGGAAGACATACGCGTGGGCTGGGGACAGTGCATGCTCACCTGTGCCGAACTGGACAACGTTTACTCTTTGTTCCTCACCCACCAAGGATAGTGCGTACAAGGCAATTTGCTTGGCTTGAATGAATGTTACCCCCTCCATGGAATTGGAGCAATCAAGACAAATAACCACTTCATTCCTGCTGGCTGGGCCAGGGAGGGTGGCACTGAGATCAGGTTGAAAGACAAGCATGCAAGCCTATAAGGAAAAAAAGGTGGTTGGTCAAAGCTTCTTGCAACTTAATCTGAAAAACAACTTCTTGTAAAATTCTAAAACTTTCTAATAAGGTAAACATGGTACAAAAGAAAAGCAAGATTTATTTAATAACGAAACAGTCTAGTATGAGTTCATATAAGGAATACAATGGATGGGCATGGAGGCACTGGCCTATAATTGCACTTGGCTGAGGCAGGAGGATCAATCATGAATTTGAGCCTACCTTGAGCTACACAGTGAATCAGCTTGAGCTACATAATGAGATCCTGTTTTAAAAAAAAAGAAATGGTAGAGCCAGAGATCACAAGGGAATAAACTTCTGAGAGGTCAGGAATCAATATAGAATTAATCTCTGAAAAATCATTTGGCATCAATGTTACAAAATGAATATATAATTCTGCCTCTCTTTCACAGATATACTATACTAAAAGAAATATAAGCCAGGTGTGGCACCACACCCATATAATTCTATCACTGGGAGGCTGAGGTAGAAAGATCTCCATGAGTTAAGACCAGCCTGGGCTACATAGTAATTCAAGGCCAGCCTAAACTGTATAGGGATACTGTGTCTCAAAAAACAAAAAAGAAACAAAGATAATAAATATAAATGTTACTGCAATTACCAAAACATATACTGGCATCTCTTAATTAACCACTATACTGCAAACACAATTAGTACCACAAAGGCTTCACTTTTCATTCTAACTAAAGAAGCAATTCCAATCTTGCATGGTGGTATACACTTGTAATCTCAACTCCCTGGAAGCTGAGAAAAGGAGGATTCTAAATTTGAATTCAATGTGGGCAATTTAGCAAGACTCTCTCTAAAATAAAAAAGGGACCAGGATAAAGGTCAGCATGCAAAGCCCAAGGTTTAACATCAGTATTGTTATGAGTTCCTTGAGACAGTTGATAGGTCAGTGTCTACTTGGGTTGACTGCAGGAGGCAGAAGACTGCTAACTCCAAAAAGCTGGGATACCCTTTAAGGTCAACTCCAGCAAAGATGGGCCTTGAGGTAAAAAAGTAAGCTCCCTAGGGGACAATCAAGTAAAACTTAATTGTTTCGCCAAACTGTCATCATGCCTTGCTTGCCTGCTGTGCTATTTAAAACAAACCTCCACACTCAGCAGAACTCCATGCCTTTGTTGTTCTTCAATAAATCTAGGAGTTTGAGTCAGTTTAGGGGCTATTTCAGTAGGGTCAACTGACCCTCCAATATATTCTGTCTCTTGAATTTTTCATTAATCTTCCTCAGGGTTTGTGGGCCCGAATCATGCATATTATGAGAAATACAATAAAAAGAAGCCATCCTTGTTATAATCACATTAAATAGTCTTATAATTTTCCACTATTTAAAAAGTATACAGACTAACAGCCATTACAGATTAATATATGCTGGCAGGCTTTCTTTTTGGAGGAGATTAAGGTAAAGACTATTACCTTTATGTAGGGAAATAGGTTATATGATGCTTTTTGTTGAAACCTCAGAAGTTTGTGATTCTTCCCATCCCAAGTGGCACAGAGCACTGACTGAACACAAGCCTGTGTGTATCACTGAGTTATAGCCTCATTCACTCATTCTTCATTTTTTTGAGACAGTATCTCCCTAATGTATATAGTTCAGGCTGGCCTTGAACTCACAGTGATGCTCCCACATCAGCCTCCTACATGCTGAGATTATAGCCATGTACCTCTATGCCCAGCAGAACTTTGTGATTTTTAGAAAAAATTATGGCAGTTTCACATTTATTAAACATAGGGAAAAACAGAGGGTATAGGAAAAAACAGACCCTCCAAAGTGAGTATAAAGAAGGGAAAATAAAAATAAACACAAAAATATACCCTGTGGTGTAGGGTGGGCTATCATGAAGAGGTTAGATGGACTGTGATTCCTGACCTAAATATTTTTGATTGAGGAATCTTAGAGAACCAGCACACACTAGATAATGCTTGTTTTTAGGGCTATCATTAATTTCCAAGCTTATAGTTATTCTGAAGCACTTTTACAATAGTGTCTCATCCTAAGAAAGAAGAAGCATACCTCACTTTCTTTTTCTGGATGTTTTTCAACCCACATTCTTGGGAGATATGCATCACACAAACCGATGTTGAGAGAAAATCCATTGCTGTCTAAGGAGCTGCCTTCCATGGTGCTAATTACAGCTCTGTAATCTGTGAGCTACAAAACAACCATACAACAAACTAAATAATGGAATCATCTTATATACTTACCTGTCATATAGTAAACCTTTAAATAATGTCAGTAAGAGGCGGCAATATAGTAATACATTCCAAAATCATGAAGTATAACTTTCAGACCTATGGTCTTTATTATATCTAGGTCTTTCCTGAAGCTTTAAGGTTGACTTACACAGTCACATTTAGGTAAGCTAGAAACAGTCTAAAGTATGAATCTTAACAATCTGTGTAGTCAATAAGATTTATCAGGATATGCCATTCACCTGGGATAATGCAATGGAACATTCAATAGAAATTGTAGAACTATAACTTTTGGGTGACTTTTCTTTCACAAATATAAAACAATTCAAAAATGGAGATGACAAGTTTTAAAACAAGACAGCATGGCAGACTGTAAAATCATTTTTATCTCTTGATTTCTCACTAAAGGAGACTAAAGATTACTACTTAAGAGAAATTCAACCAAATGAAACCAAGACTAGAGAGTGTTGGTGTAATGAAGCTGTTTCCCAAACAGGGTGAAGAGAAGCTGGCATCCTGTGATGTGGATCCCTGAACCACTGCCACCAAAACCATACAGAAGCCAACTACTGTCCCTGAATCCATAGAGAGCACCTTGCATGTTTGGGGGAATCCTCTGTGACACAAAATATGGGACCAACAAACAAAATGCCAAAAGGGGGAAAAACTGAAAGAGAAGAGACACAGGAAACTGAAGAAAAAAATACATTTAAAATGTTTTAAAATCCAAGGTTGTCATACATACCTGTAATTCTAGCCCTTGGGAGGCTGAGGCAGTGGGATTGCCATGAGTTAAAGGCCAACCTGAGTTACATATGGAGACCACGTCTCAAACAAACAAAACAAAAAAGGATAGCATAACCATGAGGTATAGTACCCACATAAGAGTACTGTAAAAGACAAATAAAGAACAGACAAGAACTCTGAGATTGAAAACACAGAAGACGGTTGGGTGTAGTGTTTCATGCTTGATATCCCTGCTACTTTGGGATGCTGAGCCAGGAGAATCCCAAATTTGAGCCTAGTATGTGCCATTTAGTGAGATCCAGTCTGAAAATAAAAAAGAAAAATACAAAAGAACTGAAAATATAAGCCCAGTGCTAAGGCCTTGGATTTAATCCTTAGTACCTATATGGAGTGAGCGACCACAAGAAAATGAAATAAAATTTCACAGAACAGTTAGAATAAAAATTGAAGAAAACCACTAACAAAAAGTGTCTTTTTAGAACAAAAAGACAGTAAAATGAGCAATAGGGTGGAAAATTTAAGATGGCATGTGTCCCACTCCAGGGTACTTGTTAGAAGGTACTGCAGAAAAGTAAGAGGAAAAAGTTATTTGACTGATTTACTGACTCACTGATTGACTGACTGACTGAAAGAATTGGGGCTGGGAGCACAGTTCAGTGATAGTGCTCTGGCCTAGCATGTGTGAAATCTTAGGTTCGAGTCCCACCACCAAAAGATAAAACAACAACAACAAATAAGATTGAATTTCACTGTGTTGCCTAGGCTGCCCTCAAATTCCTGAGCTCCACCTCAGCTTGGTGAACAGCTGGGACTACAAGTGCATACGATGGTCCCAGCTGGTAAAACTTACATTTAAAAATATTTCCAAGAACTAATGGCCACAAGTTATGTACAATGAATAAACACAACATTAATAAGAAATTTCAGAATCCCAGAGGTTGAGAAGATATTAAATTCTTATAAAATTCTAAAAATTAAAGTAAATCACACAAAAGAACAAGGGAAACAAATACCACCAAACTTCTAACAGGTAACCATGGAAGCTAGAGGATAATGCCTTTTGAATTCCAGGAGAAGGTTTCCAACCCAGGACTCTACCCCTCCCAAAGGAACAAGTGTGGAAAGAGAATGAAGAAATTTCCAGCACGATCCCTCACACACACTGGGGAAGCTGGAGGAGGGTGTGCGGTCACACGGAGGACAGTGCACAAGGAAGAGCACAGCTGGGGCTGGACGCACAGCTCAGGCAGAGCACCGGTCTAGCGTGCATGAGAACTCGGGTTCAGTCCTTAGCATGGCAAGAAAAAAAGGGATAAAGATAAAAGGGTCCCCCAAAAGGAACAATAAACGGAGGCTGGAGTGGGAACAGGAGCAGGAGCAAGGAGGCCAGGAGGTTACAGAAAAAGAAACTGATCATTTTTGACATTCAACAATAGGAAAAATTGTAATGCAAGGAATTTTATTGATGTATTAGGGTACAGGAGAAGAAACAAGTTGGCAATCAAGCAAATGAAAATGGTAACTTTGTGTCAGCCTCCTCAGTAGCTGGGACTACAGACACGTGCCACCATGACCAACTTACATTTTTTGATACAATAAAATTAATGCTAAAAAAGAGCTCTTAGGAAATCAAAGATTCACTGACCTTTTGCTTTAATTCATGCGTATCACTGGAAATGAAGTCAATCACGTATGGCATCTCAATAGACAGAGTCAAGGAGAAGCTTCCAAAAATCAAGAGAAAGTTGTCTTAGTCTAAGACTTTAACTTTTCTACTTGTAGTTGCTTCAAAAAAAATTATTTTTGGCAGTGGTCAGGAACAAAGCCAGGGCCTCATGGATGTTAAGTACTCTCCTATGGCACTAAGACCCAGTCCTTCAAATAATTTGAAGTGAAAATTTAAACAACAAAACTAACAAAATTAACCTATAAAACCTATCTGGTTTTATATTTTAGGTACTAACCTTTGCTTTGTTCCTATTTCCTTTATATAAATCTTCTCTACGGTATCCTGTTAAGACAAAAATGTATGCATAGCAGAGCATCCACTATACTTCACAATGAGCTCTAAACTGAAGGTGACCTCAGCAAAGCCATACCTGACAGCAACATCAAAACACATGGTCTCACTTACAGTGAAACACAGAGCTCATGACATGACAGGAACTTACCGCCACAACTCACATCAGAATCATTCCTGACCATTCTGACAGAGAATTTCAATTCCACTTATCTCCTCTATATGCATGCACATGCTCACATGCACACAAACGCACATGCACAACACACACACACACACACACACACACACACGAAGTCTGGAGGGATACCAAAGCATTAACTAGTAGTTATCTTTGGATGTCAAGATCAAATATATATATATATATATATATATATATATGTTTTTTTTTTCTGTACCAGGTATCAAACTCACAACCTCACACTTGCCAGGCAGGTGCTTGTGCTGCTGAGCTATATTCCCAGCCTGATTAAACATGGTTTTTAAATTTTCCTCTTTTGGCTTATTTTCACTGTTTATACTTACATCTAATTATTTGAGATGAACATACAGTCCAGATTTAAAAAACATTTTATGTGACAGAAAACAAAAATATTATACTCATTGAATGTGTCTCTTTATTCTTTCAATTTTAGAAACACTGCCTGTGTCTAAGTGCACAAATCAATGATTCTGACTTGCTGCCAAGAAAATTGTTCTAGATTTTTTTCTTTCTTTTGTTACTATTTTTGCAGTGCTGAAGATCAAACCCTGGGAGTGGCCCACATGCTAGGCAAATGCTCTACCTCTGAGCTGTGCCCATAAATGCCTCTTTAAACCTTAAGAACACAAACCTGAAGGTTTTGATTCAAAGCCTTATCCTGTTGCCAGGGAGCCACCGTAGCAGGCATGAAGAAGATAGCAATAGGGCCTCGAATGCTGAGTTCTGTGATGTAGGTAATCTTCAGGAGAACCTTAGCTTTAGGGGGTAAGTTTCCAACACTTACAGTAAAGACATCCTGAAACAGAAACATTTGAACTTGTAATTTAAAAGCTTTGGTAGCTAATATCTATTATATAAGTGTCTTGAATTACAACCTTTCAAGTTCTTCCCCCTAAAATGACAATTGGACTTAGAAGAAGACATATTGGTATGCAAAGAGAGTCCTGAAGTCATTACCAGCGACAGGGACTGAGAAGTCTATGGGAGGCAAAAGACGGTGGTCCTTGGTGGCTGAGCTGGAGTCACTGGATGGATTCCTCCTGTGATCCTGAATCAGTGTGCTCTGCCGCAAGAAGGCTTCAAGAGTCCTCTGCACAGCAGCCTGAGGCCTTGACAAACTGCACGGACCCAGTACTGGTGCCCGTAGCAGTTGCAGGATGAGAATGGCATTTCCCAAGCTTGTTCTTCATTTAATTCTCTCATCCATAGTTTTAATTTTATTTTTTACAAAGATATTTTTCTTTGAGTGGTACTGATAATAATTATAGAAGATGGCAACCTCATGACTGGTGAAGGTACAAAAAAGAGAAGAAAGATACATCGGGTGACTCCAGCTCAGCCACCAAGGACCACCCTCTTTTGCCTCCCATAGACTTCTCAGATACACAGAGACTCTCTCAATATCTACAACTATATTTACTATTTTATACAATTAGGAGGAAAATCCAGTATGTTTATATCAGGAATATGAACTATTAATGATTAATGTGGCTTAAGGTTTAAGTTATTACTTTTGACATCAAGGACATCTATTGTCTGATGGAAATAAATAATGAAAATGCAATTATTATTTTTATTTATTTGTTGGTTGGTTGGTTATGGTACTGGGGATTGAACCCAGGGCTATATCCCCAGTCCTTTTTAATTTTACTCTGAGATATGGTCTCATTAAGTTCCCTAGGTTGGCTTTGAACTTGTGACTTTCTGTATCACTCTCCCAAGTGGCTAGACTTGTGGTATGTACCACCACTACTGGCTCTGAAGGGACAATTATCACAGTTAATAGAATAAGCCTTTAAAAAACATGTGTATATAAAATCCTGGGTTCATTTGACAGGTATATCATCTTAAGTGATATACTTAAGAACATGGGTAGGAGCTGGGCGTGGTGGCACACATCTGTAATCCCATCACTTGGGAGGCTGAGGCAGGAGGATTGTTCTGAGTCTGAGACTAGTCTAAGTTACAAAGTGAGTTCAAGGCCAGCCTGAGCTGCATCATGAGAACTTGTCTCAAAAAGACAAAAGAAAGAAAGAAAAAAAGGAAAGAAACAAAACAAAAAGAAAAGAATCTGAGTGGGAGGTTCACTTCTAGGTAGAATAAAGGTAGCTGCAAGATCGCGTCACTTCTGTTATAATACAATGAACAATCCATAAATTAATGAACTATCTTGAATTCACAAATCAAATAAACTGAATTCCAGAGTGACAAGTCCTTCTGAGGACAGATGGGACACAGGAACTGTGTGAATTCCTACAGCAAAGTAGGCAAGCTTGTTGGTTTACAATAACTGGAAACTTCCATCCCAGGAGTTCACATATTCTCACAAGTTTTTCTTCACATTCTTCATTCTGCTAGGTCTATCAGAAAAAGCAGCACAGCCAGAGTCCAGGGACAGTACTCGCCAAAGCAGCACTATGGAGCAGGTGGCTGGCGGCTTGCAGGGATCATGCCATACACTTTCCTGGATCCTTTCCCCCTATACAGCAAAACCTTAAGATACTGGAGAAAGACTGCAAATTCTTTCACTTCTCACCCATTTCAGGAGGGACAGAAGTAATACAAGGATCAGAAACTTTTCCTACTCTAGCAAAGAGGAAATACCCCGCTGCTTCAGGACATAAGCAAGAGGTACCTTACTGAGGGAAAGGGCACAAATCCTCCTGGACCCAGGACCCTGAACCAGAACACTGAGACAAAGGCAGAAAACTGTCTCCCAACAAGTCACAGCAGACAGATAGATTTTGGCTGCTGCTGAGGTGGGAAACAGGCAGACTGTGGCACCACACATCACCAGCCTGAGAACGATCAAAGTTTGCAATTAAAGACAGTTTCTAAGGAACACAGATTACTTTTGCATAGTGTAAAGTCAAACGATTCTAAGGCCAGGGCCCATGTATGTGTATTTATGTGAGTCTATAAAATTGTTTTTACTCACGGGAATATTATATATGTAATACATGTGAATATGTGTCAACCATTTTATATATTCCCAACTATAAGAAGATTAACAGATATACAATGTAAATATATAATATATAATGATATAATAAAATATGGTATCTACATAAGAGTAGAATAATATGCTACACTAACATTATTGCACAATATGAGGACATTATAGTTACTAAATGGCAAAACATATACTTGCAGACTTGGTAACAGTTTTGTATTGGTTTGAGCAGACTTTATCTGTGAGTAGTAAATATCTTTCAGGGAGACCACTTTCTTGTAATCTTATTCCTGAGCAAATATGTTAGCATCATAATGAAAATGATCATACTCCGGATTTGGGGGGAAAAAAGGAGTAAGTGAAACAATGCAGAGATCTCAACTCACTCTAGAAAGAGTTGCTATTATCAATGAGTTTTACCTCAGTATGATAAAAGCCATCTATGACAAACAAACAGCCAGTATCATACTAAATGGCCAAAAACTGAAAGCCTTTACTCTAAAATCAGGAATAAGCTTCCGGGAGAACATGGCGGACAGATAGCAGCAGCTACGGAGGCTCTGTGAAAGACCCAGCTTAGAATTCAGGAATGGTGCGGAGTAAGGAATCATAAGCAAGTGGAGATATGCCCTGCTGACCCAAGAATGAACTGGGCTGAGAGAAACCAACTGGGAATGCAATCCTGGTAATATAACAGGAACAGAAAAGCCTCAGTGTGGAAGCTGGAGCCCACGCCATTGGAAGCTGCGATTTGGGTTTCCCACCGAGCGGCGGCTGCATCTACATCGGCTCGGCAGGGAGAGAGATGCATGGAAGCTCTGAAATCGGGAATCGGCGAACGGAGTTGTAAACAGGACGGGCGGGGAGCTGTGCATTGACTTGTGGTGAGGTAAGTGAGAGAAACTGACACTATTCCCATGGTTTGGGAGACTCCAACAGAGGACATTCTGGGACTGGGCAGACTTTCGGGAGCAGGGCACTGCGGCGACTTCAGCCACGTATTCCCCTCTCAAGCAGGACTGGTGAGAAGTGCCTAGCCTACGTGACGCTGCTGGCTGAGACCCAGTAGGCTAACACAACCCAGATCCCAGAGCCTGAGGGTGACCTGGAGGGGCGGGCCCCGCATAGGCTGCCTGATCTGCAACTTCCTGGTGTGCTGCGGAGACTGTGGCTGACAGGGAAGGAAGCTGGGCCTCCTATATACGCTTGCATATATAAGGAATAAAGAATATGGGAAGAGGGAGCAACAAGAAAGGCCCTTAAGCCCCCAACCCTGGGAAACAGGCAATAGCGGACACCACACCAATAGACATAAAGCGCCATCTAGAGAGCCTCATAGATCAGTTCAGGAATGAAGTTATTAATGACCTGAAGCTAGAAATAAGCAGAATAGTTAGAGAAATGCCAAGCATCACCCAAGAAAAAACAGATGGTGGAATGGAAGATCAGAAAAAGAGGGGAGAATTGTTTGATGGAGAAAATAGAGAAAGCATAGAATACGTGAAGCAGGTTCAAAGAGATTACCAGGAAACTAAAAACTCTATCGAAAACTGGCATAACATCTTGAAAGAAACTAACGACAGATTATCTGAACTGGAGGGCAGATTTGTAATATGGGAGAATGAAATGGAAAAACTTCTTTAAAATAACAAAGAAACAAACAGCAATAATACAAAGACTAGAAGATGATAAGAGGATCCATAACTTAAGAATTAAGAACATAAAAGAAGAAGTAGGGACACAAACAAATGAACTACAAAAGCTACTCACAGAAATAATCCAGAAGAATTTTCTAATTTAGCAAAAGGTAAAGATACTCAGTTGTATGAAGCATACAGGACGCCAGCCACCTACAACCCAAACAGAGCAACACCCAGGCATATAATAATTAAAATTCCAGAAATCCAATACAAGAACAGAATATTAAAAGCCATCAGAGACAAGAAACAGATCACTTACAAGGGAACACCCATCAGAGATACAGCAGATTTCTCTGCACAAACCATCAAATCACGAAGAGCATGGGGGGAAATAATTCAAGCTTTGAAAGATAATAACCTCCAGCCAAGATTGATATATCCTGCACAACTATCCCTGGAAATTGATGGAAAAACAAGGTGCTTCCAGGATAAAGAGGAACTAGGGGAATATGCAACCACCAATTCAACTCTACAGAGAATACTGCAGGATGTTCTAAAAAAGAAAAATATAAAGAATCCAGAAACAGTGGCAGAGAGGCCACAATGAATGGAGCAAAAAACAAAATGAAAACAAACTGACAACTAATGACAGAAAAAGAGCTCAACAGAAATGAGGCAGAGAAGATTGGATGATAGGAACAGCTGTTTTGGAGAAAATGACATCTTAATAGGTAATACTGATTTAGTATCATCTTGTTTTGAAGTCTCATCAAGCTTTTGTTCTTCTGTCTCCACTGGTCTAAACAGGTAGTATCTTATTGGATTTTATTATGTATGATAGTGTAAGCAAAAACTTTTATAGACAAGGAGATTATACAGAAATCATTGTTCATTTTCTGTTAGTTGATTCTAAATACCCTGTAATACTGTCATTCTCTTAAATGGTTTTACATTGTTTTGATATATTTGATGCTACAGTATACGAAGTTATACTCAAAGATTTCAAGGAAAGAGACAATATGGTAACTACTTTTATGTCGGGATAATCTTGTGGTGAAACACTATTTTGCTTAAATGGTTATGTTTTGATCTGCGCAGATTTGCTGTTATGCCCTCTTTTATCTCAATCTCCACTTTATTATTTACTTTTTTATTTTTATCCTTTTAATTAAGGGAAAAATAAATAAAAAATAGCAGGATATA